AAAACAAAACTGACCACGTGTTCTTCCTTAAACATACCCAAGATTTCCCTCTCCCAGCCCTGCCTCAAACAGCAGGATCAACCCAGACAAAGGGCTCTTACTGGTATTGGGGTCATTGCTCCCTCTGGTTGGAAGCTCCAGGAGACGGACGTTGCGCTGCTGATCACCTCGGAGGATGAAAATGGGCATGGAAGTCTTGCTTCTGTCCCATTCTCCACAAAGAGCTCCTCTGGTGTCTTCTCCTCAACTGCTGATACTCTGACTGTTTGGGGGTGGGGAAGAGGAAAAGGAAAAATGGCAGTTTTTGAGAAGTTAACCTTGAGAAAGGTTTTGGCCCTGCTGCTAATCAGTTTCCTGCTTGGTTCACATCTCTCTCCTCCCCACCGCACTCTGAATCTCTGCTGAAACTGGAACACCACACCAAATTCAGCTTCACTCATGATGAAGCTGGGAAAAACATACAAAACAAACAAAAAACCACTAACCTTTTGGCTAAGTGCACCACCTAATTCAGGGGTGGGCAAACTTTCTGGCCTGAGAGCCACATCGGGGTTCCAAAACTGTATGGAGGGCGGGGTAGGGAAGGCTGTGCCTCCCCAAACAGCCTGGACCCCTGCCCCCTATCTGTCCCCTGACTTCCCCTCTCAGAACCCCTGAACGATCCAACCCCCCTGCTCCTTGTCCCCTGACCTCCCACCCCTAGGATCCCCCACCCCTAATCACCCCCGCAGGACCCTAACCCCTATCAAACATCCCTGCTCCCTGTCCCCTCACCCCTTTCTACACCCTGCCCCCTGACAGGCCCCCCTGGGACTTCCGTGCCTATCCAACCGCCCCCTGCTTCCCGTACCCTGATCGCCCCCACCCCTGAACCTCCGCCCCATCCAACCACCCCCTGCGTCTTGTCCCCTAAACTGCCCCCCGGACCTCTGTCCCTTTTCCAGCCCCGCCACTCCCTTTCCATACTGCTCAGAGCAGCATGTCTGGCAGCCAGACGGAGCCAGCCAGGCAACTGTGATGCCCGGCAGGAGCTCAGAGCCCCACCGCCCAGAGAGCTGGCGGCACAGCGAGCTGAGGCTGCGGGGGAGGAGGGCACCAGGGGAGGGGCCGGGGGCTAGCCTCCCCTGCTGGGAGCTCAAGAGCCAGGCAGGATGGTCCCGCGGGCCATAGCTTGCCCACCTCTGACCTAATTCTATAAGGCATAATGTTACCATTCCCTGGTTCACTTCAGCAGGAGTCCTAAATAAATACGTATGAATTGTTTGACTTACAACATTACCAAAGCTTTTAACTCCTACAGCATTTCAGGTGAAGGATCTGTTTAACAAGATTTCTTGTTACTGAGCCAGTGATAGATGTGCACAGCCAGTCATACAGACTGGAATCTTTGTCACCCCATCCTTCTCCTCACTTCCAAAAGAGTAAGCTTCAGAGTATTTTACCAACGGAGAAGTTGGTAACAGCGACTCTGGTGTGTGTTATTGCCATTAGATCCGAATTTAATCTGAGAGGAAGTTGGATCACCTCACACAGCAGGGTTGGAAAACAGCCTATAAATGTCAGTTCTATTAAAGACAGAATATAATATTTTAAACTGAGGCAGCCTCCAGACACTTAGCTATCATGGCGATGAGTTGTGGTTTAAATACACATAGTCAAAACAACGTGGGGCGGTAAGTCTGCTGCATGTATTCAGAGTGAAAGCGAGCCCTGAAGACTGCATATGGCTCAGAGTAAGTTCATCTTCTGTAGAAGTTAGTCTGTAGTCTGCTCTGGAAGTGCTAGTTATTTATTCTCCTACAGAACAACCTTGTTTAAGAGGCCAGCGAAGGCTGGGCATTACTGACTGCCTTTTCATCACAGCCATTGTATCAAACAGAACAGCACAGAAACAGTGCTCTAAGGGAGGTGGATTTTCAACAAGAGGTTGCATCAGAGCTTCCCTTCTCCCCCACATATAATCTAACTACAGGCCAAGAAATACTCCTTTCCTTGGGTCCCTGCTACCAAATGTTTATTCTGAACACACAAGAGATTTTCTGGCAATTCAGTAAAGTGAATACATAGTTGCAGTGCTGTAAGTAAATTTTTCTACTAATGGAGTGGATATTAAGATAACAGAAAACAATCCATTGTTCCAAGTCCAAACCACAGAACAAAAAGCAAGCAAGAAGCCCTCAACATTTGTGTAGTAAGTAAAATCAGCACTGAGAAATTGCTTGCCTGTATAGGGGACAGAGGATTCATTGCTACCAACAGGAAGGAGTAAGCACTGACCTGTTTATTCCAAGAAGCCACTGTTGTACATAAATAGCCCATGGAAGTGTGGTGAAGAAAAGCCTCATCTCCCTCTTTCAGCCCACACTTACTAAGTAGGAGTTTTACTATCAGAGGATCTGTTGTACACCTGGACATTAAAAATCTTTCACTCCTGGAACAGAAGCCAGGTTTCCCAATTAGTTCATAAGTGGACTTTGTCTCCTCAGGTCCAAACTAAGATTCCTAGTTGACCACATCACAAAGCCACCCCACAATGGATAGTTTATTCTCACTAGCCACAGACCCTGATGCTTTGATAGAACCGTGTTAAGGCCAGGAGGAGGTAGTAACCCCCTGAATTACATAAACAGCCAGCCGGCACTAGTGCATACAATACAGCATAGTCTCCAAAGTTGTAACCTCACTAAAGATCAGATCTTACAGACATGAACCCTGCAGCAACATAACTGCATTCATCTCAGAAACAAAGACAGCTCCCGGTTATAGTCTCCAGCCAACCCTGATACCTCATTGAATCTATGACCATATCCTCAAATCCCAAACAGACATCAGAGGACTGTGATACAGAACACCATCCTTCAGCTTTCCCTTCCCATCGCTCCCTGCAACAGTCAGGAGTCATATTAGCCTGAAAGAGCTCAGGGTCACCTCATGCCGTGCCTCTGACACTGCTGCAGAACATTTTGGAATAAGAGTGTCCCCATAGGAAGTTATATAATTCTATTGGTTTAACTATACCAGGAAAACGTGTCCCAAGAATGCATGAGATCTATAAATGGAAGTTGTAAAATCCAACAAGGAATGCAGCAACTTTGGCACAAAGAAACAACTTGGACTGCTACTGCCGAAGGTAGAACTTGGCACCAATATCTGGCACTCTCATAGGCTATGCTTTACCAACAATAGGCTGGTCTCTAAACCACACCCCCTTGGAGATTATGCTCACTTGCAGGCAGAACTATATGGTACAGCTCTTCAGGCATCACCACCACCAGCAGCAACACAGAAGTAAGCTTAGCAGTGCTGTAACCCCTCTACAATAACCTTGAGGTCCCCCCTCCCCAAACTCCTTCTTGGGTCAGGAACCCCTACAGTTAAAAATACAGTGAAATTTTAAATTTAAATATCTGAAATCATGACATTTATGATTTTTAAAATCCCGTGACCATGAAATTGACCAAAATGGACCGTGAATTTGGTAGGGCCCTAACGATATGAAACAATGTGCCAGACAAGAATGAACTTTTAAAGTTCACTGCATTTCTAGGGGGAGGTATATGTAAATGTACCCCTTCCAGTTATGCAAGAACTCAGTCTTTTGAAACTTCACCCTGAGGA